ACTAAATTAATATAATTACTGGTTTCTTTAGTGCTCAGACAAGTTTATTTAACCCAAAGTGTTTGTAGGAAAATCCAGGTATTAGTGTATTTAATTTGGCCTTAATCATTATTAAGGTAAAGTCAACATCAAAGAAGTCGTTAATTTGTGTGTTATACTCTTAATAATACACAATTGTAAATGGAAACACATACGCAGTATATTGAGTTTAATTAACACTGATTTGCGAATAATAAAAACATTTAAAGAAAAAGTAATAATATCGATTGGTTTTCCTTTATAAAATAAACAATTTAAATAACTGCGGTGGTGGCGGGTTTATCTTAAAGCTAAAGTACTCTGTAAAAAATGCCGAACATTTTAACTGAATACATATTAAAATGTATATTTAATTAAGCAATTGTTTTACAAAAAAAAAATAAATAAATAAAATATAATTAATTTAAAATAGTTACTACTGCAAGGGAACTAAATAAATAAATATGTATAATTAATTATTTTAATTTATAAATAAAATACAATTTGTTAATATTGTATTAATGAAAAGTTTGTGTGTGTAATCAATATATTTATGCATTTTAACGGAATTTTTAATTAGGTCTAATTAAAATTAAATAATTAAAAACAGATAATTTTATTGAAAGCAGTTTCAGTATTTTTTAGGAATTGTCATTTTAACATCAATAGAAGAGAATTATTTTATTTTCAGGGAAAGGTGTGTATTACAATAAAGGAACTAATTAACTTTTCTAGTTCAGTTCTAGTTCAGTTCTAGTTCAGTTCTAGTTCAGTTCAAGTTCAGTTCTAGTTCAGTTCTAGTTCAGTTCTAGTTCAGTTCTAGTTTAGTTCTAGTTCGTTCTAGTTCAGTTCTAGTTCAGTTCTAGTTCAGTTCTAGTTCAGTTCTAGTTCAGTTCTAGTTCAGTTCTAGTTCAGTTCTAGTTCAGTTCTAGTTCAGTTCTAGTTCAGTTCTAGTTCAGTTCTAGTTCAGTTCTAGTTCAGTTCTAGTTCAGTTCTAGTTCAGTTCTAGTTCAGTTCTAGTTCAGTTCTGTTCAGTTCTAGTTCAGTCTAGTTCAGTTCTAGTTCAGTTCTAGTTCAGTTCTAGTTCAGTTCTAGTTCAGTTCTAGTTCAGTTCTAGTTCAGTTCTAGTTCAGTTCTAGTTCAGTTCTAGTTCAGTTCTAGTTCAGTTCTATTTCAGTTCTAGTTCAGCTCTAGTTCAGTTCTAGTTCAGTTCTAGTTCAGTTCTAGTTCAGTTCTAGTTCAGTTTTAGTTCAGTTCTAGTTCAGTTCTAGTTCAGTTCTAGTTCAGTTCTAGTTCAGTTCTAGTTCAGTTCTAGTTCAGTTCTAGTTCAGTTCTAGTTCAGTTCTAGTTCAGTTCTAGTTCTTCAGTTCTAGTTCAGTTCTAGTTCAGTTCTAGTTCAGTTCTAGTTCAGTTCTAGTTCAGTTCTAGTTCAGTTCTATTTCAGTTCTAGTTCAGTTCTAGTTCAGTTCTAGTTCAGTTCTAGTTCAGTTCTAGTTCAGTTCTAGTTCAGTTCTAGTTCAGTTCTAGTTCAGTTCTAGTTCAGTTCTAGTTCAGTTCTAGTTCAGTTCTAGTTCAGTTCTAGTTCAGTTCTAGTTCAGTTTCAGTTCAGTTCTAGTTCAGTTCTAGTTCAGTTCTAGTTCAGTTCTAGTTCAGTTCTAGTTCAGTTCTAGTTCAGTTCTAGTTCAGTTCTAGTTCAGTTCTAGTTCAGTTCTAGTTCAGTTCTAGTTCAGTTCTAGTTCAGTTCTAGTTCAGTTCTAGTTCAGTTCTAGTTCAGTTCTAGTTCAGTTCTAGTTCAGTTCTAGTTCAGTTCTAGTTCAGTTCTAGTTCAGTTCTAGTTCAGTTCTAGTTCAGTTTTAGTTCAGTTCTAGTTCAGTTCTAGTTCAGTTCTAGTTCAGTTCTAGTTCAGTTCTTTCAGTTCTAGTTCAGTTCTAGTTCAGTTCTAGTTCAGTTTTAGTTCAGTCCTAGTTCAGTTCTAGTTCAGTTCTAGTTCAGTTCTAGTTCAGTTCTAGTTCAGTTCTAGTTCAGTTCTAGTTCAGTTCTAGTTCAGTTCTAGTTCAGTTCTAGTTCAGTTCTAGTTCAGTTCTAGTTCAGTTCTAGTTCAGTTCTAGTTCAGTTCTAGTTCAGTTCTAGCTCAGTTCTAGTTCAGTTCTAGTTCAGTTCTAGTTCAGTTCTAGTTTCTAGTTCAGTTCTAGTTCAGTTCTATTTCAGTTCTAGTTCAGTTCTAGTTCAGTTCTAGTTCAGTTCTAGTTCAGTTCTAGTTCAGTTCTAGTTCAGTTCTAGTTCAGTTCTAGTTCAGTTCTAGTTCAGTTCTAGTTCAGTTCTAGTTCAGTTCTAGTTCAGTTCTAGTTCAGTTCTAGTTCAGTTCTAGTTCAGTTCTAGTTCAGTTCTAGTTCAGTTCTAGTTCAGTTCTAGTTCAGTTCTAGTTCAGTTCTAGTTCAGTTCTAGTTCAGTTCTAGTTCAGTTCTAGTTCAGTTCGAGTTCAGTTCTAGTTCAGTTCTAGTTCAGTTCTATTTCAGTTCTATTTCAGTTCTAGTTCAGTTCTAGTTCAGTTCTAGTTCAGTTCTAGTTCAGTTCTAGTTCAGTTCTAGTTCAGTTTAGTTCAGTTCTAGTTCAGTTCTAGTTCAGTTCTAGTTCAGTTCTAGTTCAGTTCTAGTTCAGTTCTAGTTCAGTTCTAGTTCAGTTCTAGTTCAGTTCTAGTTCAGTTCTAGTTCAGTTCTAGTTCAGTTCTAGTTCAGTTCTAGTTCAGTTCTAGTTCAGTTCTAGTTCAGTTCTAGTTCAGTTCTAGTTCAGTTCTAGTTCAGTTCTAGTTCAGTTCTAGTTCAGTTCTAGTTCAGTTCTAGTTCAGTTCTAGTTCAGTTCTAGTTCAGTTCTAGTTCAGTTCTAGTTCAGTTCTAGTTCAGTTCTAGTTCAGTTCTAGTTCAGTTCTAGTTCAGTTCTAGTTCAGTTCTAGTTCAGTTCTAGTTCAGTTCTAGTTCAGTTCTAGTTTTCTAGTTCAGTTCTAGTTCAGTTCTAGTTTAGTTCTAGTTCAGTTCTAGTTCAGTTCTAGTTCAGTTCTAGTTCAGTTCTAGTTCTAGTCAGTTTCTAGTTCAGTTCTAGTTCAGTTCTAGTTCAGTTCTAGTTCAGTTCTAGTTCAGTTCTAGTCAGTTCTAGTTCAGTTCTAGTTCAGTTCTAGTTCAGTTCTAGTTCAGTTCTAGTTCAGTTCTAGTTCAGTTCTAGTTCAGTTCTAGTTCAGTTCTAGTTCAGTTCTAGTTCAGTTCTAGTTCAGTTCTAGTTCAGTTCTAGTTCAGTTCTAGTTCAGTTCTAGTTCAGTTCTAGTTCAGTTCTAGTTCAGTTCTAGTTCAGTTCTATTTCAGTTCTAGTTCAGTTCTAGTTCAGTAGTTCTAGTTTCAGTTCTAGTTCAGTTCTAGTTTCAGTTCTAGTTCAGTTCTAGTTCAGTTTCTAGTTCAGTTCTAGTTCAGTTTCTAGTTCAGTTCTAGTTCAGTTCTAGTTTCAGTTCTAGTTTCAGTTCTAGTTCTAGTTCTAGTTCAGTTCTAGTTCAGTTCTAGTTCAGTTCTAGTTCAGTTCTAGTTCATTCTAGTTCAGTTCTAGTTCATTTCTAGTTCAGTTCTAGTTCAGTACTAGTTCAGTTCTAGTTCAGTTCTAGTTCAATTCAGTGAACCAAATATTAATTTGACTGTACTAAACTTCTCTGAAGTCAAATACTTACGTCTTTTAAAATAAAAAGAAGAGAAAAATATCAATATGCACTTAATGATTCCGATATTATTGATAATGGTCAATTTGTAAATAACTTTCTTATATCCAAAATATGCAGTTGTTATTTCTTGAACCCAGATTTCATTCTTCATGTGGAAAAATAATGAAAAAAATTGTAACATGTTTTTAGTCTTAAATAAAAAGCTTTATTAACATATTTCCGTATTTATTACATCAAACACATTTAATTGGTTTAATTAAAATATTTCTCTTGTTGTGCCATATAATTTAACATTTTTCTTGTTGATTAACAGTTGCGTGTCCGTATTAAAGTTGGCTGCCAATTTATGGGTGAACCACAATTTGAATTCCATAGTTTAACCAGAGTTATAACATTGTTGTCACTGTGAATGATAGTTTGAAAATATATGTATGTATTTATATTAACAATTATATGGTTTGAATACTCCTACAACAGGGTTTATCAATTAATATTATTGTTTTAATTAAATAAAAAAAATGATAATAACTGGAACAATAAATTTGCTGAATTAAAAAAAAAAAGGACAAACACGCATGATTACTAGTGGGGCGTTGTTGCAAAGGAGATAAATTGAGAACGAATATGCAATTTATGTGTTTATGTTTCTAGTTTTATCACTTTATTAGAAGGGATAGTATTGCTCTACTATAGCGATGTCGAAGATTTGAGAAATGTACACCTTTTGCGAATTTGCAAACGATAAAAACAGCTAGTTTTACTGAAGATATTTCGGGAGGGACACTATTGCGGTCCCTTTCTAATTCGAGAGATTTTGTTCGTCCGTCCATCCGTCCGTCTTTCTGTCTTTCCATATGTCCGTTCATACATACATATGTCTCATGATAAAACAAAGGAAGAGGAAATAATGAAATTCTGTCAAAATGTTCATCATTGTACTAGGCAGCTTGGTGTTGAAAGTCGTCCAAATAGGTCGGTCCTCTACGTAAAAAGTTATGAACCCAATTTTGTAAAAAACTTCGAATAATTTAAGATTAGTATGTAAATTAAATTCATATTTAAAAAATGTCTATAAAAATTAAATGTCAAATAAATACTAAATAACTCTTTCTTTTCCATACAAGTAATGACACATTTATTTTAAGAAATATTGCTTTTTTTTACATAAAATATTTGAGATGATAATAAAATTAAATACATACATTAAATGAAATTTAATAAACAAGAAAAGTTTTACAACAAACTAAATAATAGTACAAAAACAAAAAACATTTTTTTTTGAAAATTTTCCAATGAACAAGTTAAAAAAAAAGTTAAAATATTTTATTGATTTAGGCAGCAACAGAAATAATAGAGAGAACAAAAAATATTTAAACAAACTAAATATTGTGCAAAATTAAAACTAATAAACAGTATATAGAGTAAATGTTTTCGGTGAGCAAATTGTATTAAATACAGTAAAACCTTTATAAAAGAAAAAAAATTAAAAAATTTTCTCAAATTTAAGAGAAATTTTTTAATAAAATTATTATTAAAATGGTTACTGTATATAATATTGTGTTGTTTTTATTGTTTTGTTATATAGTAGTTTCTATCTTCACTTTACTATTCATCCTTTTGTTCGTTGGGCACCTCCCAATAGAGTTCATCCTGATGATGTTCTTCCTTTTGTAACTTACGGAAGTTGGTGTATTTTAATGCCAGACCTATAGGTTATTTTGTTATATAAATAAATGTTAAACCATGTTGTTGTATGTACAAAAGGTTGGTTATAGTTGTTTTTGTTGTTTATTATGCCCAAAATATAGAAAAAAAAACACACAGTAATTGTGGGGGTTTGAGTCCAGTTTTGTTAACGTTAAAGTTTAGTTTTCAAAACAATTATTATGAACATGATGTTTAAAGTTGTTTGAGCATATACATATGTATATATATATAGACATACATAGGAATAGCATGAAAGTAAATAGAAATAAAAGAAAATAAAAATAATATTAGTTTTTTTTTTTGCTTAAATATTTTGTAGTTATGTTAACTACCCACCTGCTAAAATGCCACCCACAATAGCCACTAGAACAGTAACACCAATACCCAACAATTGATAACCAGCTTGGCTGCTGGCTTCACGACCATAGCCCTATAAAAATATAGATAATAAAATTAAATATTATAAAATATTAAATAAAAACTTAAAGCTTGTAAAAAATGCTGGAATTTTGTGCTTTTGTATGGAAGTATAAGGGTTCGGGAAAGCTATAAAGGAATGCAAGTATTTTTGGGTTTTTAATTAAAACCTAGAACAGATGTCGCTGTGAACGGCGTATTTATTATATATAGAAGTTTTGGTTGAAATAAAGCCCTTCGAAATTAATCCCTTTAGCCCTTTTAGAGTGCTATGAGAATAGCTCAGAAACGATCTACTTTTATGGTTATTATAGTTCGAGCTATGCGTGAGATAAATTCAAAAAGCATCATCGAAAGTTAGACTCACGATATAAGAAACTGTGGGCCCTTAGGCAGAGATACAAGCCGATGCGAAATGATCGGCGGCGGCGGCGCAACCATTTTGGGTCGGCGGCTTATTACAGATAATATCGGCGGCGGCTAAATTGTCGGCTCAATTTAACTTTTTCTTTAGAAATTGACCTTATAAGGTTTATTATATTGAAAAATCTTTGTATAATAGTCTGTTACATAGAAACCTGTCTCTATATAAGTTTTTTTCTGCAGAAAATGGACATTTATAGTAGTTTTCACTATTTTAATATTAGCACAATATTGTGTGGCAACTCTTTTCAATTTGCCATAAGAATTTAAAATAGTGGCAACTCCGTTCAATTTGGTGAAATTATGTTCTGAAATACATGTGTGATTCTAATCTTTATCAGCGGCTACGTTTAAGCCGGCTTAGCTTTTGAGCCGAAAGAAGTCGGCGGCGGCGCGGCTTGCAAAATATTACCGGCGGCCAGCCGCCGCCGATTTGAGCTGTCTCGGCTTGTATCTCTGCCCTTAGGCTTTTTATGTTGCTATGAGAATAATCATAAATGAAACCTCCATTAGGGCTAATCTGAGTTTTTTAAGGCAATGTCTAGGAAGATTGATCTGACAGCATAAGCTACTGCGAAGCTGCTGCAGCCACATTAATGATATCTTGCTACATAAATAAGCAAGATTGTAATCAGTGATCGAGACTTGGGGAAAGATAATATTCTTGGATGACATAAGATCGGTAAACTAATGGAAGAAGAACACGATCGCGTAGATCATTTAGGGCAAGCAATTCGTACTTGTGGTTCAAATTCTTTCATATCAAACCACAAATAACATCCTATATATCTAACATATAAAACAATCCTTTCCTTTATAGCTCTGCTGTCTGAGAATTTCTTCTTGATTTTTTTCCTCCATTATCATATTGTGTTTATATTATTGCTTAGACATTGCTTACAATATTTACTTTTTTTTCTATATCCTACACAATTTTTTTGGAAGTTTATATTCTTGCCGTTGGAATCCCTTAACCAAAGACTATTTTAATTCCTTGTTGTATGTACAATGTACATACCAGCCAGCATAAGCTCTTGTTACTTACCCCTAATATTATTGTTGTTTCGTTATTTGGTTGACTTAACATTGCCGGAAAGATATCACCCAAATCCGATTTGTATTGTTCTGGTTTTGCCAGAGATGCATAAATGACGGAGGCAATGGCTGAGATTACAGCTGGCATACCGTGTAGATTGTGCACGCCGCAGGTGTCGTGTATACGTAATTTGGCTGTTAAAAATGGCTATTGGTAATAAAGGAATAGAAAAAAAAAGAAGAACAAAACAATTTTAAAACAGTTAGTTAGTGATTTATTAAGTTTTAGGAAGTTTGGAAAACTAATATAAAAGCAAATAAAAATTGAAAATTGTCTGTTAAAAAATATTCAAAATTTTCTTTAAAATGCTTTTTTCATGTATCAATTATAAAGAGCCTAAGGAAAATTTAATTGCAAACAAGTTGTTTAGCAAAAACGTACAAGTACAACTTTATATACACATCTCACAAATTGCATAATTGTGTTGCAATTTCTTTAAAACATTATTCATTTCCTTCCTACAACTTTCATTTCCATTTCCACTTCCTCTTTCTAATATTAATATTCCATTAAATGTATAAAGTCTCTGGCGACACTATAAGGCATACATTTATAGATGAACATAAAATGAATGTCCTTTACTCATAAACTACTACATACAAAAATATCTACATACATACATGCTGCTTTATCAAGCCCCTATTATTGCTGACATAAAATACCTGAGGAATTAGTAGAGAAAAACAATTACCACAAAAAGGCTTTTTATGAAAATCTTCAATGTCTATTGAATGTTTATTGCATACAAATTGGAAACCCATATGGAAACAATAAACTACCATTAATAATACCTTTTAGTCATAAAAAAGTGTCTGTCTAAACAACAACAATCTAAAACTACTCGAATTACACAGAAAAAATAATGAAAAACAAACAAATAATGAAACAAAAAACTGGACGAAAAACGTAAAATAAAAAAAAAAGAAATATTGAAATTGGAATCGGCATTTGAAAATGTTATTAAATTGATGTGAGGCAATAAAAATCATAACGATTCCGGTGGAACAGAGACAATGGGGAATGAATTGTTTTTGTAGTTTTTGGAGAAAGTTGTATAATTTGAAGAAAATATTATATAATGCAGATTTAGTTCAGTTCAACTTCACTTGTAGTTCAGTTGAAGTTCAGTTCTAGTTCAGTTCTAGTTCAGTTCTAGTTCAGTTCTAGTTCAGTTCTAGTTCATTTCTAGTTCAGTTCTAATTCAGTTCTAGTTCAGTTCTAGTTCAGTTCTAGTTCAGTTCTAATTCAGTTCTAGTTCAGTTCTAGTTCAGTTCTAGTTCAGTTCTAGTTCAGTTCTAGTTCAGTTCTAGTTCAGTTCTAGTTCAGTTCTAGTTCAGTTCTAGTTCAGTGCTAGTTCAGTTCTAGTTCAGTTCTAGTTCAGTTCAGTTCTAGTTCAGTTCTAGTTCAGTTCTAGTTCAGTTCTAGTTCAGTTCTAGTTCAGTTCTAGTTCAGTTCTAGTTCAGTTCTAGTTCAGTTCTAGTTCAGTTCTAGTTCAGTTCTAGTTCAGTTCTAGTTCAGTTCTAGTTCAGTTCTAGTTCAGTTCTAGTTCAGTTCTAGTTCAGTTCTAGTTCAGTTCTAGTTCAGTTCTAGTTCAGTTCTAGTTCAGTTCTAGTTCAGTTCTAGTTCAGTTCTAGTTCAGTTCTAGTTCTTTAGTTCAGTTCTAGTTCAGTTCTAGTTCAGTTCTAGTTCAGTTCTAGTTCAGTTCTAGTTCAGTTCTAGTTCAGTTCTAGTTCAGTTCTAGTTCAGTTCTAGTTCAGTTCTAGTTCAGTTCTAGTTCAGTTCTAGTTCAGTTCTAGTTCAGTTCTAGTTCAGTTCTAGTTCAGTTCTAGTTCAGTTCTAGTTCAGTTCTAGTTCAGTTCTAGTTCAGTTCTAGTTCAGTTCTAGTTCAGTTCTAGTTCAGTTCTAGTTCAGTTCTAGTTCAGTTCTAGTTCAGTTCTAGTTCAGTTCTAGTTCAGTTCTAGTTCAGTTCTAGTTCAGTTCTAGTTCAGTTCTAGTTCAGTTCTAGTTCAGTTCTAGTTCAGTTCTAGTTCAGTTCTAGTTCAGTTCTAGTTCAGTTCTAGTTCAGTTCTAGTTCAGTTCTAGTTCAGTTCTAGTTCAGTTCTAGTTCAGTTCTAGTTCAGTTCTAGTTCAGTTCTAGTTCAGTTCTAGTTCAGTTCTAGTTCAGTTCTAGTTCAGTTCTAGTTCAGTTCTAGTTCAGTTCTAGTTCAGTTCTAGTTCAGTTCTAGTTCAGTTCTAGTTCAGTTCTAGTTCAGTTCTAGTTCAGTTCTAGTTCAGTTCTAGTTCAGTTCTAGTTCAGTTCTAGTTCAGTTCTAGTTCAGTTCTAGTTCAGTTCTAGTTCAGTTCTAGTTCAGTTCTAGTTCAGTTCTAGTTCAGTTCTAGTTCAGTTCTAGTTCAGTTCTAGTTCAGTTCTAGTTCAGTTCTAGTTCAGTTCTAGTTCAGTTCTAGTTCAGTTCTAGTTCAGTTCTAGTTCAGTTCTAGTTCAGTTCTAGTTCAGTTCTAGTTCAGTTCTAGTTCAGTTCTAGTTCAGTTCTAGTTCAGTTCTAGTTCAGTTCTAGTTCAGTTCTAGTTCAGTTCTAGTTCAGTTCTAGTTCAGTTCTAGTTCAGTTCTAGTTCAGTTTAGTTCAGTTCTAGTTCAGTTCTAGTTCAGTTCTAGTTCAGTTCTAGTTCAGTTCTAGTTCAGTTCTAGTTCAGTTCTAGTTCAGTTCTAGTTCAGTTCTAGTTCAGTTCTAGTTCAGTTCTAGTTCAGTTCTAGTTCAGTTCTAGTTCAGTTCTAGTTCAGTTCTAGTTCAGTTCTAGTTCAGTTCTAGTTCAGTTCTAGTTCAGTTCTAGTTCAGTTCTAGTTCAGTTCTAGTTCAGTTCTAGTTCAGTTCTAGTTCAGTTCTAGTTCAGTTCTAGTTCAGTTCTAGTTCAGTTCTAGTTCAGTTCTAGTTCAGTTCTAGTTCAGTTCTAGTTCAGTTCTAGTTCAGTTCTAGTTCAGTTCTAGTTCAGTTCTAGTTCAGTTCTAGTTCAGTTCTAGTTCAGTTCTAGTTCAGTTCTAGTTCAGTTCTAGTTCAGTTCTAGTTCAGTTCTAGTTCAGTTCTAGTTCAGTTCTAGTTCAGTTTCTAGTTCAGTTCTAGTTCAGTTCTAGTTCAGTTCTAGTTCAGTTCTAGTTCAGTTCTAGTTCAGTTCTAGTTCAGTTCTAGTTTTCTAGTTCAGTTCTAGTTCAGTTCTAGTTCAGTTCTAGTTCAGTTCTAGTTCAGTTCTAGTTCAGTTCTAGTTCAGTTCTAGTTCAGTTCTAGTTCAGTTCTAGTTCAGTTCTAGTTCAGTTCTAGTTCAGTTCTAGTTCAGTTTCTAGTTCAAGTTTCTAGTTTCAGTTCTAGTTCAGTTCTAGTTCAGTTCTAGTTCAGTTCTAGTCTCAGTTCTAGTTCAGTTCTAGTTCAGTTCTAAGTTCAGTTCTAGTTCAGTTCTAGTTCAGTTCTAGTTCAGTTCTAGTTCAGTTTCTAGTTCAGTTCTAGTTCAGTTCTAGTTCAAGGGTTCTAGTTTTCAGTTCTAAGTTTCAGTCTAGTTCAGTTCTAGTTCAGTTCTAGTTCAGTTCTAGTTCAGTTCTAGTTCAGTTCTAGTTCTTCAGTTCTAGTTCAGTTCTAGTTCAGTCTAGTTCAGTCTCGTTCAGTTCTAGTTCAGTTCTTAGTTCAGTTCTTCTAGTTTCAGTTCTAGTTCAGTTCTAGTTCGTTCTAGTTCAGTTCTAGTTCCGTTCTAGTTCAGTTCTAGTTCAGTTCTAGTTCAGTTCTAGTTCAGTTCTAGTTCGTTCTAGTTCAGTTCTGTTCAGTTCTAGTTTAGTTCTAGTTCAGTCTAGTTCAGTTCTAGTTCAGTTCTAGTTCAGTTCTAGTCAGTTCTAGTTCAGTTCTAGTTCAGTTCTTAGTTCAGTTCTAGTTCAGTTCTAGTCAGTTCTAGTCGTTCTAGTCAGTTCTAGTTCAGTTCTAGTTCAGTCTAGCTTCAGTTCTAGTTCAGTTCTCGTTCCCGTTCTAGTTCAGTTCTAGTTCAGTTCTAGTTCAGTTCTAGTTCAGTTCTAGTTCAGTTCTAGTTCAGTTCTAGTTCAGTTCTAGTTCAGTTCTAGTTCAGTTCTAGTCAGTTCTAGTTCAGTTCTAGTTCAGTTCTAGTTCAGTTCTAGTTCAGTTCTAGTTCAGTTCTAGTTCAGTTCTAGTTCAGTTCTAGTTCAGTTCTAGTTTAGTTCTAGTTCAGTTCTAGTTCAGTTCTAGTTCAGTTCTAGTTCAGTTCTAGGTAGTTATAGTTCAGTTCTAGTTCAGTTCTAGTTCAGTTCTAGTTCGTTCTAGCAAATTTTCAGTTCTAGTTCAGTTCTAGTTCAGTTCTAGTTCAGTTCTAGTTCAGTTCTAGTTCAGTTCTAGTTCAGTTCTAGTCAGTTCTAGTTCAGTTCTAGTTCAGTTCTAGTTCAGTTCTAGTTCAGTCTAGTTCAGTTCTAGTTCAGTTCTAGTTCAGTTCTAGTTCAGTTCTAGTTCAGTTCTAGTTCAGCTTCTAGTCAGTTCTAGTTCAGTTCTAGTTCAGTTCTAGTTCAGTTCTAGTTCAGTTCTAGTTTCATTCTAGTTCAGTTCTAGTTCAGTTCTAGTTCAGTTCTAGTTCTATTCAGTTCTAGTTCAGTTCTAGTTCAGTTCTAGTTCAGTTCTAGTTCAGTTCTAGTTCAGTTCTAGTTTCAGTTCTAGTTCTTCTAGTTCAGTCTAGTTCAGTTCTAGTTCAGTTCTAGTTCAGTTCTAGTTCAGTTATAGTTCAGTTCTAGTTCAGTTCTAGTTCAGTTCTAGTTCAGTTCTAGTTCAGTTCTAGTTCAGTTTGTTCAGTTCTAGTTCAGTTCTAGTTCAGTTCTAGTTCAGTTCTAGTTCAGTTCTAGTTCAGTTCTAGTTCAGTTCTAGTTCAGTTCTAGTTCAGTTCTAGTTCAGTTCTAGTTCAGTTCAGTTCAGTTCTAGTTCAGTTCTAGTTCAGTTCTAGTTCAGTTCTAGTTCAGTTCTAGTTCAGTTCTAGTTCAGTTCTAGTTCAGTTCTAGTTCAGTTCTAGTCAGTTCTAGTCAGTTCTAGTTCAGTTCTAGTTCAGTTCTAGTTCAGTTCTAGTTCAGTTCTAGTTCAGTTCTAGTTCAGTTCTAGTTCACTTCTAGTTCACTTCTAGTTCAGTTCTAGTTCAGTTCTAGTTCAGTTCTAGTTCAGTTTAGTTCAGTTCAATATCGAAACCAACTATATGAATTGATTTACGCCTTAAAAATTTTAATTATTATACTAATTTCAAATCTAAAGTTGTTTAATAATTTATTTCAGTGTAATTGCATAAGAAATAGTCTCCACACACAATACGTATTTTACTTTTCTATTAACAAATTTAGTCCAGCAAAAAGATAAACTGCTTTTTACAGAATCAGTTATTCATCACTTCACAAATATAAATCTTATCTTTTTCACAATTTTTTAAGGGACGAATTTTCGGTTCGATGAATATGAATCTTAAACACGATCAGTGATTGCATTATGTACTAAGTTCATCAATCTCAGCTCTTTTTAAAGTGGTTTTTCTTCACTGGGTTATATTTTTGCATTGATCATTTTCTGCCTAAAATACTTGTTACATTTATTAAAACTACTCATGTATTATCAAACATTTTTATTATTTCCGATACTCATAATATATTTCACTTTTGTACCAATAATGCCACATACCTCTTCAATATAAAATTTATTTAATAGACACATAAAATGTATACTGGTCCATATAAATGAGTAAATATAAATATTTGTATCGTTTAGTTTAAATCGTGTGTGTGTATGTGTTTATGTTATATTCATATTGAATATTATTTTTATATATTTTATTTATTGAAAAATTTTCATTTTCTTTATACAATATCATTTTTATGCTTAAAATATTTATAATTCTTCCTTTTTTATGCCCAAAATTTTTGTTGTGTAAATTTTGTTTTTACCAAAAAAGGAAAAAAAAAGGATCAAATGTTTTGTTGAACCTACATTTAGAGTAGAACCAAATATATGAAAGAATGTTTTGTGTGTACTTATGTATATATGTGTTTGTATGCTTCAATAAATTTGATTTTAATTAAAAAATATTTACTAAGAATAGAAATAATAATATTTTTTGGTATGAGTTTTAATTAAATATTTAATATAGTATTTAGTTTTGTAAGAATTTTCAAATAAAAACTAGGTAAACACATATACATACATACATATGTATATTTTCCTACATATACACGTATACACACATACATGTGTAAGATAAATAAATTATTTAAATGAAAAAGTTCAATGAAAATTAATACCAATAATGGTTGGTAAAAGATGAAGAAGGTCAATTTTGAGTGTAGTAGGCCAGTAAATGCAATTGGGTCATTTAAATTGATTTAGAATTTTGTAAACTGTAAAAGAAATATAAATATTTTTGTTTATACAAATATTTTTTTTCTTAAGGTTATCATTCAACATACTTAGAGGCAAGGAGTAGAGAAAATATTTAATAACTACATTTTCCTATTTAATAAATGGAATGTTTTGTAATAAATTTAGAAATAATATCAATTTATAATAATGAAAGGATAGGTTTGATAAAGCTTTCAGAAGTAAGTTAACCTTTAGGGTTTCTTGAAATTTATATAAATCAAACTGTTAGTGTATTGCTAATTGGAATACTAATATCAATATTTAGTTAGTGAATTGGTAATAATGTTTTAAAGGTTAATCGATTTGACCCTTCATTAAGTCGGCTTTTAATGAACTAGAATTTAGCAGATCTGAACTAGAACTGAACTAGAACTGAACTAGAACTGAACTAGAACTGAACTAGAACTGAACTAGAACTGAACTAGAACTGAACTAGAACTGAACTAGAACTGAACTAGAACTGAACTAGAACTGAACTAGAACTGAACTAGAACTGAACTAGAACTGAACTAGAACTGAACTAGAACTGAACTAGAACTGAACTAGAACTGAACTAGAACTGAACTAGAACTGAACTAGAACTGAACTAGAACTGAACTAGAACTGAACTAGAACTGAACTAGAACTGAACTAGAACTGACTTAGAACTGAATTAGAACGAACTAGAACTGAACTAGAACTGAACTAGAACTGAACTACTGAACTAGAACTGAACTAGAACTGACTAGAACTGAACTAGAACTGAACTGAACTGAACTAGAACTGAACTAGAACTGAACTAGAACTGAACTAGAACTGAACTAGAACTGAACTAGAACTGAACTAGAACTGAACTAGAACTGAACTAGAACTGAACTAGAACTGAACTAGAACTGAACTAGAACTGAACTAGAACCTGAACTAGAACTGAACTAGAACTGAACTAGAACTGAACTAGAACTGAACTAGAACTGAACTAGAACTGAACTAGAACTGAACTAGAACTGAACTAGAACTGAACTAGAACTGAACTAGAACTGAACTAGAACTGACTAGAACTGAACTAAACTGAACTAGAACTGAACTAGACTGAACTAGAACTGAACTAGAACTGAACTAGAACTGAACTAGAACTGAACTAGAACTGAACTAGAACTGAACTAGAACTGAACTAGAACTGAACTAGAACTGAACTAGAACTGAACTAGAACTGAACTAGAACTGAACTAGAACTGAACTAGAACTGAACTAGAACTGAACTAGATCTGAACTAGAACGACGAATTTAAGACTTATTTTTTGCTGCATTATGAGGCAAAATGCTCGAGATTCATATATGTATGAGTAATATATGTGTATATGTGTAACTATTCGTCTTAATTTTCATATACACACATCTCCTCTGTTGTTTTCTTTTAAATGTTTTTTTTTTACACTTACCGTAATAAAACGATAACCCAACACCGATACTGTGCCAGCAATAATACCAATTAATATTGCACCATGAGCACCAATCAGTAGATTACAAACAGTACCAACAGCAACACCTCCTGCCAGTGTAGAATTCTGTACATGAACCATGTCCAATTTATTCTCGTGGCTGACAAGTGCCGATAAAACAAATGTTGTAACTGTAACATAAAACAAACAGAAAAAAAAATTAAAAGAAAAATGTTATATGAGTTACGGGAAAGAAATAATAAAAAAGTAATTGTGTATTACATGAACACATAAGTTTACAAAGGAATTGTATAGGGACTGGTTATTGAAAAAATGCCCAAAAAAATTAAGAGGCGGAGGCATACCTCAGCTGGCGTTAAAGAAATATGTGGTTGACTATATTATGAATTTTAAAAGTGCATAAGTTTTATATTAATTTTTATTGTTAAAATTATTGAAATTTTGAAAATTTTATTTCAAATCTTCCTCTTTGGAATCCTTCCCTTAAAACCATGTTTTTCAATTCTGTTTATATGAATCTATTAATTAATTTGTTTGTGGTTGCAGATGTAGTTTTATTCCTGAGAGCAGAGTTCGAGTGGTAGTTGTACGAAATTAGTTTAACTAAACCACAACTAATCTGTAGATTGAATAATTTTGTTAAAATTGAAGTAAAATAATAAAAAAAATATGAAAATGCAATTGTTTAAAACCAATAATGAGAAAACTATTATTGTTTTAGAAATAGAGTTTGTTTCTGTTAAAAATATGTTTATACCCTACACCACTTTAGTGGGGAGGGTATATTGGATTTGTGCTGATGTTTGTAACATACAAAAATATTCGTCCTAGACCCACCTTAAAGTAATCGTTTTCTGAGTCGATTAAGTTATGTCCGTCCGTCCGTCTGGCTGGCTGGCTGGCTGTCCATGTAAACCTTGTGCGCAAGCTACAGGTCGCAATTTTTGATAATTGGATGAAATTTGGCACGCACGTTTTATTTGACCCAAGGACGAAGCCTATTGAAAATGGTTAAAATCGGTCCATTATTTCACCTAGCCCCCATACAACAGAACCCCCCGAAAAGGGCTTCTGAGCTCATAATTATGTTAAATATACAGATATATCGATAAAATACGGCACAACTAAGTTTTATAGAAGTCTTGATGACCCTGCCAAATTTCATAAAGATCGGGCCACATTTGACCCTAGCTCCCATACAAAGTCCCCTTCAGAAAATTACTTGAATGTCCCAAATTAGCTTATAAACACAAATATCGCGATGAAATTCAGCACAATAAAATATTATGTCAATATAAATATATTCACAAAATTTTATCGGGCTTGGTCCATATTTGCCCCTAGCCCCCAGATAAAGCCTCTTTCAGAAAATTAGTTTTTCATCCATAAATTGCTTAAATGTATCGGAACAAGGGAATATTGAAGATAAATGCTTTATTATGAAAAATAAATCACATTTAATATTCATAACTGGTGTAGGGTATCATATGGTCGGCCACGCTCGACTATAATTTCTTACTTGTTTTAATTTTATTTTATAAAATGCTTCAACATTTGCACTAATAGAAAATATGTATTGACTCTAGGGGTTTTTAAAGATTTTGTGATTGTTTTAGATAAATCAATTAGATTTTAGAGCAGACTAACGTCAGCTATAGAGACCATACTTTTGTCAGTCTATAGTTCAAACTATATAAGAGACAATAGATTCTATAACAAATTTTAGTTGTGACAAGTATATTCGAGGCTAAAGACTACACAATACGGAAGACTATAGATAAAAGTATAGTCGAAACAAGACTATATTTGAGACAGTTGAAAATAGAACATACTATAGTCAAGACAATAGACCAGTCTATAGTCGGGACTACAGACAAGAGGTGAGGCTATAGACCAGACAAAAGTTCTATAGTCGATACTACAGACAGTTCTACAGTCTACAGAGCAGGTTTATGTAAGTAGCGATTACACACGAGACTATAGAACATAATGTAATCGGGGCAATAGATCAGACTATAGTAGAGAATATATACCACATTATACTCGAGGCTATAAATCAGATCATAAGTAAAACTAAAGACCAAATTATAGTCGGGGCTATAAACAGACAACAGTGGAAGCTATATTCAGGACTAAAGACCAAAATACGATGTTAACACTAAAACTGTTTAAGTTAAAGGTAAAATGTGCGTAATTTAAACAATTTTTAAACATTTCTTTAAAATTATTCAATGACGCAAAAACAATAATAAAATTATATTTTCATGGCTAATTTGCTCATTTTCCCAAATATTTGTATTCGAAATTGAACAAAACTAAACTCATAATTTATGATCAATTTTCTAAATGCACGTACATACATAATATTTAGTTAAACATACAAAAACACATAAATACACACTCATACGTATAGAGGTCCGGTATTTGCTACAAAACAAGGAAACAAAACAAAATCATATTTAATACTAACACTAATGTAAACAATTACATAGACATATACAAGAACTCATACTCATATAGGAACAGGATATAGAACATACCAATTATTCACTTGTTCACCAAGCGAATTTAACAAATTGGTTGTAAATGTTTATAACTACAAATATAAAAATGTGTATATTTAAGTGTAAGTGTAGTAAGCAAACATGTATGCATATTTATTATTATTTTTTGGTGTAAAATTAAAACATATTTTCCTCAATTTATATTGTAAATAACAAATAGGAAATAATACACAATATTATCCTTTTTACAACTTGTTGGTTATTTATTTATTTTTTTTTGTTTGTTGTTGTATATGAGTGTCTATGTATGTATTTGTTTTTATTAAAAGGACGTTATTGAATGCAAATAACCAACAACAAGAATAAGAACAACAATATGTTTAATAGAGAAAAATATAAATAGATGAGGAAATCCAAAAATTGTTTTAATATAAACATGTATGTACTGTTAGTGTATGTGTATATGGGTGTGTTAATGTATATTTTTATTTGTATGAAAGTGGACACATTGAAACCACAGGAACCTCTAATAGTTGATACAACAGCAGTTGAGACTAAAATCATAGCTTAAATAATGACTTCGTAACAAAATGAAAATAAGTTGAAAAATATAATATTTTTCCACAACCATCTTTCATGACTAACATTAAGTTTATTATCCTTTTTTTTCTCGAAATCTTTGCTAATTCTATACTCTCTACTGTATCATGCTTTTGCATGCTACAAATATTTGTTTGTTTGTGTTTATTTCAAGTTACAGCAACAGTTACAATAATATTTTTATATTCCACTCACAAACTAATTAAATGTCAAATAGTTACGTTAACACATTTCGCAAAAAAAAAGAAAAACAACAACAACGTACCAAAAAAACACAACAAAATTATTTTAAACACGTACTTATTTTCATTCATTTATACGTTCATTCGTTCATCCATTGCTACCTTGAACAACAGCAACAGCATCCTAAAATCCATTAGTAGGTGTGAGTTAGTATGTGTGCGGTACTACACTTTTACATTTGGTTTACAAAATTACTACAATAATTTAACGCAGCTTGATAGACAGACTAACAAATACGGAGGCACAATAAACAAACAAATAATGCAAACATTGGTTGTATTTACATTGTCACACCAATAGCAACTAAACTGACATGCATACACTTTGTCTCTGAGACAGACGGACGAACAGACAGACACTTTTATACATATACATTAATTCCCGGCAAACAAGTTAAAGTTAAGCGTATGAATCTAGAAAATAGAATCTAATCGAGACTAATCGAGACCGAAGCCGACCGAAAACTATGGACTTGACTGTTTGTTACAACTATAGGCTTGACTATAGTCAAGACTATAGACTTGACAACGTACCAAAAACTACTCTATAGTCTAGTCTATAGACTAGACTATAGACTAGACTATAGACTAGACTATAGACTAGACTATAGACTAGACTATAGACTAGACTATAGACTAGACTATAGACTAGACTATAGACTAGACTATAGACTAGACTATAGACTAGACTATAGACTAGACTATAGACTAGACTATAGACTAGACTATAGGAACTAGACTATAGACTAGACTATAGACTAGACTATAGACTAGACTATAGACTAGACTATAGACTAGACTATAGACTAGACTATAGACTAGACTATAGACAGACTATAGACTAGACTATAGACTAGACTATAGACTAGACTATAGACTAGACTATAGACTAGACTATAGACTAGACTATAGACTAGACTATAGACTAGACTATAGACTAGACTATAGACTAGACTATAGACTAGACTATAGACTAGACTATAGCTAAGGACTAGACTATAGACTAGACTATAGATAGACTAGACTATAGACTAGACTATAGACTAGACTATAGACTAGACTATAGACTAGACTATAGACTAGACTATAGACTAGACTATAGACTAGACTATAGACTAGACTATAGACTAGACTATAGACTAGACTATAGACTAGACTATAGACTAGACTATAGACTAGACTATAGACTAGACTATAGACTAGACTATAGACTAGACTATAGACTAGACTATAGACTAGACTATAGACTAGACTATAGACTAGACTATAGACTAGACTATAGACTAGACTATAGACTAGACTATAGACTAGACTATAGACTAGACTATAGACTAGACTATAGACTAGACTATAGACTAGACTATAGACTAGACTATAGACTAGACTATAGACTAGACTATAGACTAGACTATAGACTAGACTATAGACTAGACTATAGACTAGACTATAGACTAGACTATAGACTAGACTATAGACTAGACTATAGACTAGACTATAGACTAGACTATAGACTAGACTATAGACTAGACTATAGACTAGACTATACTAGACTATAGACTAGACTATAGACTAGACTATAGACTAGACTAGAGACTAGACTATAGACTAGACTATAGACTAGACTATAGACTAGACTATAGACTAGACTAGACTAGACTATAGACTAGACTATAGACTAGACTATAGACTAGACTATAGACTAGACTATAGACTAGACTATAGACTAGACTATAGACTAGACTATAGACTAGACTATAGACTAGACTATAGACTAGACTATAGACTAGACTATAGACTAGACTATAGACTAGACTATAGACTAGA